GACTAGCGATACTTCTGCAATGACTACACCTTCCACCCGGACATGGCAAAGGTGACTGCCCAGTGGCCCCTGGCCAGCCTCTTTGCCCAGGGCGGTGCGATCATCTGGCAGTGTGAGCAGGGCTCCACAGAGGTGATTGTTTACAGCTTCCTCCCTCAAAGAGGTACTGGACAACTCTTTGGCCCCGTGGTGGCCTGGCTGTAGCTGATAGTGTGGCAGGCAATAGTGGCAGCAATCGTCGGGCAGGCAGCCTATGGGATCGCCAGCTGGCAGCAGTTTTGGAGCACCTTTGAGAACTTCTCCATTAACGACGGGTGTGCCAGCTGGGCCGAGTTTTGGGCCACCTCAATACCGTTTCAAGATCCATTCAGCGAGGACCTGCCCCAACTGGAGGGAGCACCTGATGCAGTGGTCCAGCTGAACACCGACGGCAATGACTTTTTTAACCTCGGTCAGGCGGGCAGCACCTTCTACTTGGTGCATTACGGCACTTCCTGATGACCACCACGCTGTTTTAATAAAATCCTTATTGCTGCCAATTCTCATAAACCGCTGCAGAAGGCCATGGTCTGCTACATTGCTGTCGACCCCTTCACGGGCAACTTCCTCATCGCCGACTTCTACGGCCACAAAGTGACAGTGTGGAGTCCCAAGGGGCAATTCATTCGAGACTTCAGGGGTACTTTGAGAGGAGACAAGGAGCCCTGCAAACCCTCAAGCGTGGACTTGGATGCTGCTGGCAACATCCTGGTGGTGGACCAAGGCAATCACCGATGTACAGGTGTGGAGCCGCGAGTTTGAGCTCCTCTGCGCCTTTGGCACGCCGGGCTATCAGCAGCCAGACCACCTCTGGGACCCCAACTTCGTGACCGTGGCCCCTAACGGCGATGTCATCGTTTCTGTTTGTGCCTCAAACCGTTGTCTGGTCTTCTGATAAGCCAAAACACTTGCTTCCACAATGGACCCAAACACAATCGCATGGCCCACACCTCCGCCGGCAGGTCCTCCACGCCCACCGCCATTCCCCTCGCTTCGCTCTTCTCTCTTTCTTGCGGTGGTTCTGTTCCGCCCAGCTGCCTCGCGTTGTGGTCGGAACAAGACGCTCACTCGTGAACGGTGCGTGACAACGGTTGAGTTCGCCCACCGGTTCGGAGCTACATCGAGCTGTCGGAGCTTGCAAGGTTTTTATGAAAAGTGCCAAGGCCTCACACGGACAGGAGACAACCCAGAGCGTTGGCGAGGTCTTCGTCTTCGCCGCTGTCGCCACTCAAATCTTGAGTGGTGGTATCGTCATCATGCTTGCCCGAGGCCACTTCGCACCCGTACCCCGTACCCTTGACGACCCCGTCCTCTTCCTCTTCATCCTCGTCGCTGCTCTTCTGATCTTCGCTGTCGTCGATCGGCTGCAGCTTCACACATTCCCGCTCGGCCGCGCACAGCTCGACGTGCTTGTGCCACTCTTCGCACTCTCGCCTCGGCCTCCACCTCAACTCTGATGGTTGGACATTGTGAGTGTTGCGGTCTCCACGCCTTCGGTTTGCTGATTGGTGATGTGAGAGTTTGTACCATCGC